GAAAGTTTCTGTAGATATGCATGTGTGTAAAACAGTAAGTGTATGCTGTCACAGTGCATTGAGTTCCCAACCCTTGTGCAGTACTGTGAAAATGTTGTGGAGCTTATTATCAAATCATGTGTTTTCCTGAAGAAAAGCTTCACTTCTGGGAGACTATGGTAACTGAAGTGTGCTGTTTGTTCTTGTCAGAATCAAAACTGAGACATACAGAGAACCCATGCGATACCAAAACCGGTCTCTGCCCCTTCCTTGCCTCAAGCAGTGTGGGGGGCAAAATGTCAGCTGACTGAATATTTTGTGTTCTGAATGAATCTCTTGTAATAGTGTAACAAGGAAGGGGAAAAAACCCAACTTGTCATGATCTGTGGTGCCATCTGGAATGTAAATGCACGATGCTGTTATTGAGGAATTGGTTGGATGAGAAGGTGAGACTCCATGACCTGGTTCTGATCTCAATTTTCACAAAATCTTATTTCTCAGAGGCAGTGCTGTTAACTCCGTTAACATAAAGTCACTGGAGTTGACATTTGGCTTCCACAGGTGTTATGTTTTTAAAGAGAACATCTCAGGAGGAGAAGAGGATGGAAGAAGAGGAGTACTTTGGAGAAACCTTAAAGCAACCCAGGCCTTTTGTGATAGCCCAGGGTACTCTGATGAATCGTGATGATAAGTAGAAAATGAGTGCTTTTCAGTGTAACTGAAAATAACATGCTTGGCCTTTTAAGAAAAAGAGCAGTAGTTGGTTTTATGCTCTTAACAGTGTGACTCCATCTTTCTAGGACAAGTTCTTGGTATTTTTATTTATTTACTTCCCTTAATTTATAATCTGTATTTTTTTCTGGCAATTGAGGCTTTCTACAGCAGACAGGAAAGAAACAGGAGGACCTTAACACCTGATTTAGTAACGGTTTTAGTTTTGAGTTTTATGGGAATATCATTGGAAACTCTTGAGTATTTCAGTGCTAAATCTACATTAACAGTAAGAGAGTACAGTAAGAGTGAATAAGGAGATTATAGCCCTTTCAGTTAGTGCTGAGGATCCTTATGTCTGCATGATTTGGGGATTTACTTTGAAGTTGGTATTATCTGGCTTCCAGGGCAGAACAGTTTTACTAAAGGCCCAGTTTGGAGCTTTTTGAAAAGCTGATCCTCAAATTGCTGTTATGTCAACTACAGATACCTCCAGGAAGCAATAATGTCCTGTATACTGCCTTGCACAGACACAATTTGTACGTTGTCATCCTGAAAGCCTGGTTCATGAAACTAAGTTCCTCCTCAAGTAATTTCTAAGTGAAACTGTGGTTCTCAGTGTCAAACCCATCTCCCTCTGCTCCATCTCTGAACAGTGTACAGTATTGAAGGAGTGGTGGTCTTAATTCCGTAGTAGCTATGCCAAGAGGATGGCAAAAATGCTGAGGTTGCTGTGTTCCTGCAATTTGTTTTTCCAAATAAAAAAGATTGGTTAACTTTATGTTCCTCTTTGCAGCTACTCTGTGAGTGAATGGAGGTCCTGAGCCCAGAGGATTGTTCAGATTTATGGGACTTTCTCCATGAGACCAACCACAGGTGAAAACCTTTTGGATGCAGTCAGGCACTGTCAAGGTAAGGCAGAGGTATGACTTTCCTTGCATGTAATTTCAGGAAACCACACCTGGATTCAAGAGAATGGTGATGCTTTCTAAAGCCCACAGTCCTGTTTCCACCAGTGACAGGGTGAGAAACTCCTTGCAGGTGAGCTGCAGATTTAGGTCTCTGAGGCCATCTTTGTTTGAAGAAAGTGAATATAGGCAACACTGACAACATCATTAGCAGCTTGGAACAAAACAGTCCTTTGCAAGTCATCCCTGCAGTACTAGTCCAATGAAACTTAAATTGGAATATTGCTGCTACAGCTGAAGTAAAAGCAGTCCCAGTATTTATACAAACAGTACTTTTCCTGTGCTATTAAACAGATACGTAGTTGTCAGCTGACAGAGTGTCCTGGTGACTAATACTGTTCAGTGCATTTAGCAAAAAAAATAACAGCCTTTCATTTTTCTTTTCACAGGGTCACAAGATTGTGTTCATAGTGGTGGGGACCTGGGGAGGTCTCCAGCCCCTGCCCAGAGCAGGGTGGGCTCAGAGTGGGCTGCTCAGGGCTTCATCCAGTCAGGGCATGAAACCCGCAAGAATGGAGGCAGCCCAACCTCCCTGGGCCATGGCTCCACTGCTGGGTTTTCCTCGTGGCTGCTGCCTGAGCTGCTGTGTTTCAGCTTCTGGCACTGCCCCTCGCCCTCCCGCCATGACCTGCTGTGAAGAGCCTAGCGTCTCATTCATCTCTTCCATCAGTGCCAGGGATGCTGCTGGGTGCTCCCAAAGCCTCTTGGTGGTCCTCTGCTGAACTGGTCACGTTTATCGAATTCTTTCCTGTGCTTGGTGCCCCAAAATGGATGCACAACTGTGGAGCAAAGGGGAATAATCACCTGACTTGATCTGCTGACTGTGTCGCTGGTTATACAGCCCAGGATGCCACCAGCCTTCTTCACTGCCTGTGTCAGATGTCAGGACATACTAAAATGCAGAAATTGTTGACAGAGCTTGTAAATAAAATACAGAATTTAAACACAAAGTCAGAGGTAGAAACTGCATCTATTAAACAACTCTTCCCTTGCCCCCTCCAACAATTCCCCTTCCTTTCATTTTATAAAGTGAAGAGTTATTTTGAATATTGGACCACTGCAGAAGACTGGAGATTAATACTTCTAGAAAAATGTAAGTTTTTCAATTGACAGGATTGAAAAATGTTTTGTCAGAAATTTGAGGGCCTTGTTAAAAGACTTTGCCCACCCAGTTGTGTTTCTTCCAGTGTGTGTTCTGCAATCAAGCTGTCACAGGTAGTTGATTTATTAGTAAGTTAAATTAAATTTTTGAAAATGTATTTATGTTAAACTTGGCTTCACAAATAAGGTGTTTCAACGGTAAAAAATTGTGAAGTTCATAACTAGGGCAGCTATGACTTTTCTAATAGTTTGAAAGTTTTTAAGTGCTATGGTTTTTCCTTTTACTGTTACTTTTTAAATGTGATCCAGCCCTTCCTCCCTTATGTTTTGTCTTCCCCCTGATAAAATAAAATGACCAAAAAAAAGTGTTTTGAATACAGACTCTTTTTATTCTCATAAATCAAGTATTTGCTCAAAGAGCCTCAGGATAGTTGAAATGTGGGACTAAAGAGGATCTCAGGAAATCATCTAATCCCTCCCACTCTTCTGAAGCAGTTGTATGTATTTAGATTCTCTCTCATGTCTTGCCTATTATCTGGTATCTATGTTTTCATATTCTCCCTATAGTCTGTTCCTATGCTTAACAGGCTACAACAAAGTTTTTTGTCCCATTACATAACTGTGCCTTGCTGCAAATTGTACCAATTACTAATTGCCTTAACAAGGAAATGAATTGTCTTCTTTATCTCAACTTATTATGATTTTAAGGCTGTTATTTCTTACACTTTTTCCTTTTGCTGTGTCTTCTTAACCTTTCTCATTCTTGTTCAACTTAATTCTTTACAACTTGTGTAACTCTTCCAGTTAAAGCCCTGCAAGCATCATCAACTCTGCTATCTTACCGTAGCACAGAAAGACATTTACTCTTTTTCATATAGGGTTGCATTTGAGATTCTTTGGGTCTGAAGCCCACTGTAGCCTTAGGTCTTCCTCTGTTATTCATCAATCCTTCTCCATTTTATGTGTCTGTATTTTGCTTTTCACTTCTGATATTTGGGACTGCATTTCTCTCTACTGAGTTCTATTTTTCAGATAACTTTCCTCATTTATCAGGTTTATTTATTTATCAGATCCCAGCCCTGCTCTGTAGAGTATCTGCAAACCCTTTAACTCAAAACTATATCCGTGTACTCTTGCTTTCACAACCAACTTGTTTACTGACAATTCTAAGCGCTGCTTCCCCAACCTAAACATCTGTGAGCTGCTGCCTCTTCCTGTTCAGTAGTGATGGCTGCAGTCTGTATATGGCGGGAAAGTTTCTCTCTCCTGCATACACACTTCATGGTAATTTCATTTAGACCATAGTTTCCCTAATTTGCTTATTGCAGCCCTCTGGGACTATGCCTAAGACTCGTATAGTCAAAATGCAACTTCAACATCAAAATAATACTTATCATGGTTACTGGTATGGTTTGCCTGTAAACTACTTATTTCCTCAGTTTCAAACATTCCTATCCAAAACTTCCATCATTTTATAAATCCTACAGATATTGAGTTTGGAGAAAATAAAACACTTCCATATGTCCTAAAATGCTGTAAGATGTCCAGTGTAGTCACACCACTACATCATGTTCTTGATACCTTCTGTTCTGAAGTTTCAGGACGTGGGAGGAAGGGTAGGGTAATGTTGACTTTTCTGGTTTAGCATTAGTCTGGCTTCCTCTTTCTTTTCTCTGTTGGAGTTGATCTAAAGTAACTAAAATTCCAGCTGACAGGACAAGAGTGGCTCCTGCCATGTAGAAGCCTGCTCTGTAATCTCCAGCCATGTCCACAATCAGACCTGCAGAGAAACAAATTACAACAATGTGTTTGACAGAAATAAGACTAATGTGAATTAGCTCAGCAGTATGGACATACCCACGCACAGAGTATGCTGGCTACACACCTGTCTTGCAGCATTCTACATCATGAGTGCATGGAGCATCACCTCATTATAGCATTTTAAAATTTGAAACACAGTTCTCATCTCATTAAGTTTGCATACGCAAATTGCTAGTAAGACAAAATGCTATACAGTTTGAAGCACTTTTCAACAATGAAGGGAATGACAGAGAAAAAAGCCAAAACCAAATAATGCAGTTTTGTATCTGAGTAGTCCCATGTTCTGTGGTGTATCTGTTGTCAGTTGCTGTAATTTGGACTGTAACTGGATAGCATAAGAGAGTTTAAAGGAAAGGGGAGACCTCTGCTGGAGACACAGTTGCAGAGGTTGCCTGCAGTGTTAAGGGCCTTCCTGATCATCATTTTACAAAGAGTCACAGATGTTAACAAAAAAACACTAGTTTTAGGGAGCTTTAAGAAAATCAGAATACCTAATGCCATTGTGTACTGTACTGAAAAAACAGTAGTATAGCAGTAGTACTACAGCAGTGTATGTGGTACAATGGCCGGTTCATCTGTGGGCTGATAAAGGCTGCTTGCTTGGTCTCCCATTAGAAAGTTTGTTCACATTTAGTGTACTCCCAAGCCCTTGTTCCAATGTAACATCAGTCCTGTTAGGCAAAGGAACTCTGAATCAAAATCTTTTAGATTTTACTCTTAAAGTAGGAGAGGAGAACTCAAGAAGCACTTGTGGTGCCCTCCTCTTCCATACCTTCTTTTTAGCTTATTATAGATACACAAAGGTGTCGGATCCCCAGGTAATCAGTACTAGTAACCAGCCACTATAGAAATGTCTTGTTATCTTCGTATTTTATTCAGATATTCCCATCATACTTTTGATAGTGGTCTGTCTCAAATTCTCTACAAACTCTCCTGGTTCCAATATTTTCAAAAGTGAACTAAAATGTTCCAGTATTCAGTCTGACTCATTTGCAACCTATTAGTGGTGTCACTACCACAAAAGTCACTGTAGTGCATGAGCAGTAATCTTTGCATGATTTGCATTTTACAAGTCACATTGGTAACTTTTCTGCCATATCACTTTGTAAAGTCCCTACAGCTTGCAGCTTGTTTGTCTTAATTTTTTCCAAGATGACTGTATCATTGCCAGCCCATAAATCCATGTGCTGTCTCATTGTCTGCTCTCTCTTCCCACTGCTTTTATGTGCTGCCTGCCTCATTTATTATATTGGTTAGCCCAAATGCTATCTGAAAACAGCAGGCATCTCTGAATAGTTCCTTGAGTTTCACATAGCCTAATTTTTCAAGCTGTTCAATTCGACCATTTCTAGAAACCCTGCCAACAATACCCGCATTTATGCAACATCACTAGTCTCAAATTCCAGTTTCTTCTCTGAAAGTACATATCTGGTGCTTGTCACATAGATACACCTTCACAGCAAGACAGTGGGACTCCATCAAGTGGGATTCTGTGGGATTCAGGAAGCAGGAACACCACCATGTAAACCCTGCTTCATATTGAACAGGTATCTCTAAAACACAGAGAAGAGAGGGAGCAAGATATTTTCAAGAGGAACTAAACTGACTCTTTGTTTTTATATATTTCTTGGTCCAGATACAACTGAGCTAAAAAGAGGCAAGTTTGGGTCCAGATCCAGATTTTTTCAGTTTGGGTAATCATTCCCCATTTTCCTTGTAAGCTGTACTTGACAGAGCATTGTTTTAACTTACCAGCAAGAGGAGGCCCCACAAAACCTCCAGTGCTTCGAATGAGCATGAAAAGCCCTAGAGCACTGTCAAAATCTGGCATGCCTACATCTGCTAGCACTGTAATGTGAACTGCGACCGTTGTGCCAAAGAAGAATCCATAGAAGCTAGTGAAAATTGCCAATGACAGGTAATTGTTGGCCAGTGGCAGCAGCATCAGGAAAGTACTGATCAGGGCAATTGTCATTGTCAGCAAATGCACAGTTTTGGTAATGTGGAGATTGGCATAACAGCCACACAACAGTCTGCCGGCAAAGTCCACCATAGCCAAAATGGATAGGAGGGATGCAGTCCACGATTCGTCTATTCCCAGGCTGTAGCTAAGTGGGACTAAAAATAACGGAGGAACAAAAAAACTCATAGCAGCTAATATGCCAAAAATGGCATAAAGTACAAACTCCGATCGCCTCACAAGCATCCAGTTGAAGGTTTTGTGTGAGATGGGAGATTTATTATCTTTGTCCATCCCAGATGCAGCATTGTCAGGTGCTGTCTCAGTTCCAGAATGGCTAGCCTCAAGGAGGCTGCTGCTTGTCAGGGGTCGCATCAGTAATCCACAGACACAAATATTGAGTTGGATGCCACCTATGATCAAGAGGGCACCTTTCCATCCATACTGACTAATAAGCCACTGGAAAAATGGCCCAAATGTGAATGCAAAGGCACATTCTCCAGCACCGGCAATAGCATTGGCCAAAGCTCTTTTCTTGGAGAAATAATGGCTGACAATGCTAATGGCTGGTGTCCATGAAAAGGAGATCCTAAGTCCTGAAAAACAGCAATACAAATAGCACCAGTTAGACGTTACCGAGGTGGTTTGCAAAGGTGGAAAGTGCTCCTACATTTGCCGAGTTAAAAACTTGTAAAAGAAAAACATTTTTTAGCAAAAGCATTAGCTCAGCTGTACTATGTGTAACAGTATATTTGTGGTATATGTTCTGTAAGAATAAGTTGCATGTTCAAGCAAAAAAGCAGGAGTATGAAGTATGCACTATTCTAGTCTCACTGTGAGAAAAAAAAATGGTTTGACAAGTTTGCCACTGGTAAGAAATCTGTGGCTGAACATAGATCTCAGAGCGTCCGTGCTGTCCTAATTAAGGCTGGTACTAGATCAGATTGCTGGGTTAAGAGAAGCTATGTTCAGGGTAGAAAGTGAGGGAGGACTTGTAGGAAGCTGGTGTATTACCTCTATTTGCCCTTCATTTTCTTGCCTGACTGCTTTGAACCTGCTTCAAACCTGCTCTAACTTACAGTGATCTTAATGGCTCCCTACAAATTATTTGGCAGCACAGGACTGCCAAGGGGCTCGAATTCCAGACATTTTCTCAGTCATCCAGCATGAAGCTGGGAATCATTTATTTTATTCCCTGCCAGCTTCACTTCCAGAAAAATCTGCTAGCTGCTGGAGAAAACTTTCTGGCCTGTTTTCACCTGTAGTAAAGCAAAGGATTGGAATCCACTGAAAGCTTGGGCCTTTGTTCAAACCATAAGATTATCTGATAGAAAGTACAAAATTTGGGATCTCTAAATCCTTGTACTTCAGCACCCTTTATGTTCTTTAAACCTTCACAGAGCTCTTGGCTCTGAGTAAAAAATAAAACTCTTTTCATTTTCTGGCTGTATATAATTCACAGGTGAAAATTACTACATCTTACATTATTCACCTTCTTTGTCACTACAGGTTCTAGCATAAATTCTGATTTCCAGAGTGGTACATGAGGCAAATGACTTTCAAGAGCGTGGCTGGTTCTAATTCCTTATCAAATCAAAACAGAAATCAGATTTTTAAACTCCTAGCACTTTCAAATAAGGGCTTTGAGTTGCTGGTGAAAGAAATCCATAAAGCCATGAAATCATACCCTGTAGGAAGCCAGTCATTGCATACATCCAGACCATGTTGAGCCCAAGAAATCCCAGTGCCATTCCTGAAAAAGCCAGGAGTCCTCCCATAATCACAACGGCCCGATGAGTGTACTACACACATAGTGAGCTGGCAACCGGGGCTGGGTCAGGAGCAAAGTGGGAGAACGACAAATACACTAGGAACATTAAGCTGATCAACAGGACCAATCAATCAAATAAAGCATCTGGAGGAGAAATAGCCCTATAATATTTGTCTCAAACTGCCTGAATTCTGCTGGCTAGGGGGATTAATTAAGGTTTTAAAATTAGATCCTTGCTGATAGGAAAATGACTGTCCCTGCAGCACAAATTTTAAAACTTATTCAAAATATGCAGACCTTTTTAAAGGGAAAGAACATTTCAGCACTTTCCTTGTGGAACAGTTGTACTGAATTTCATTTAAGGATACAACTACCAACACGACAGAAATTTGTGTAGCCTTTTAGCAGAAAGTAAAATCCCACCAAAGAATCTGTAGGTTAATTTATTAAAACTGTATTATCGTGTCATTGATATGGTTGGCATGAAAACTTTCTGGAGAAAACTAGCCTTTATCTTCCAGAGCTTTGCAAAATCATCTGTTCATGGAATTGCAAATGTTTTATAAAGGACAAAAAATTGGAGTTTATTTTGAGGTAATATTTTTCCAGGAAATTTGCAGATCATGTCTTAATTTTTTATTTAAGTGATACAGTTTATCTCAGCAGACTGCAGGAACTCTGCAAGCCCTGCTTGGACAGGCCTTTGAGCAACTTGGTCTAGTGGGAGGTGTCCGTGCCCATGGCAGGAGTTGGACTGGAAGATCTTTAAGGTCCTTTCCAGCCCAAACCATTCTATGATTTTGTGATTCAACACATGAGGGCAAAGTTGCACCAGGTACAGGTCTGACTTGGTGCAGCAATTCCAAAAACCAAAGTACTGGTGTTTAGTCACTGTCTGGAAGCACCTGGAATGTCAGGAATATTTTTTTCTTAGTTAAGGATCAGTTATACTGCCTGGCTGTTTTTCTATCAGCATCACAGAGTTAAGATCAAGCGCACACCTATCATGGAAAAGTATTCCCTGTTTTGTGAGGGTAGTTTCAAACCTCAAGTACAGGAGTTTTTTAAATAACCAAGGCCACTAGAGGGAACCCCAGTAACGGCATGGTTTCCTAGAGCAAACTGGGAGTCAGCTCCCAGAAACGTACTGATATTCTGGAAATTGGAGTTTGGGGATAAAATTAAATTCGGTTAACGAGGACCATGCTTATAGACTGAAATAAGTGGAGGTACAACGAATAGAGGGCAGTCAGCAAGTAGTTATAGTTATAGTAGTTTGTAGAGGCAGATCATTGTACTTTCCCTAGTGTTAAGTAAGGTAAGAATGAAGAAAATTTTGTAGCTAGGACAAGTGAAATAAACCTGGTGGAGAGATACTAATGGCTGCAAAATCTGCAGGACATACAGCAGGTAGCTGGCAGAAGTTATACAAACCCCAAATGTCTCATCAGCATTTACATGCAATGATTCAATAAGCATGTAAAACTGGTACTGGAATTCAATCATGGTCTGTAAGATGTAGTAAAAAGCATGAGACAGGATAAAGCATTTAGAGTTGGACAATCATACATATATGATGAACAAAATAAAAGAAAAATAGACTGAGGATAACAAGAGAAATATCTACAGTTGAGGCAGAAATACTACGAGAAAACATTTTCTAATAGAGATTGAGGAGAAGAAATAAGCAGAAATGGAACATGGGGTAGCACGAGGAAGAAAGAAGCTAGCCACAGAACTGGAAATGGAGAAGATAGCTAGGGCACAGAGCCTGAAAGGTTAAAGGGCAATACACAGAAAACTTACAAACAATGGAAAGGGGTCACAGTGTAAAGAGAAAGGTGATGGGAGAGGTCCATAAGTATCAAGAGAAGACCTATGTGTGTGATGGAGAGAACTGTTGCTCTGGTAAACTGAATGGCCTGGTGCAGGTGCAAACCCCAAAAGTAGAAGCACGTGCTCTCCTTCCACACAAGACACAGAGCTGCTGTTGAAAGGATCCAAATAGGGAAAATTAATAATTCACTGATCATCCTTCATACTGAGCCAAATGACACTAAAGGTTTCCCAGAGGAACATATTAAGAAAGACTAAGCCAGGCCAGGAATGATGCTCAGAGAACTGGAGGCTCAGATGATCTTCAGCAGAAAGTCTTCTGGTCCCTATAAATGAAGCAAAGGCAGGAGAAGATAAAAAAAATTATGTGGTGATCTAAGACATTATGAACTGCTATATAGAAAGGTTTTGGAAGGTTTGGCCATCAAGCTGTGTTCTCTGAAAGAGGATTATTTGCGTAGGATTTCAAAGGATGAAAAACAATTTCTGCTGAAAATTATAGCTGCCTTCTTTGAAGTAGGCCAGCCTCGTATCTGGCTAAGCTAACACAGTTTTGCAGGTTTAATCTTGATATTATTATTTAATATGTTGTATCCTTGATACATTCCTATATAATGCAAATATATATATTTTAAAAAATGAAAAATAAAGAAACTATCACAGGAGTTCTTTTATCCTTCTATGTCAGCTTTTTTTTTTTCTCATTAAGTTCATATCCTTGAATGACAAACTAGTCTCACAATAGGCCGGTGATAAGTCTAACTCGTAACCCAAATTGATAGGTTCTCATTTATTAATTTCTGTAGTCTGTGAGTAGGTGGAAAAGCAGGTTTTTCCTTGGTATTTCAATTCATTACTTCTATGTAATGAAACAAGCTCAAATACTGCACATCAAGCATCAAGGATAGCAGTTTACAAAAATGATAAGTTCTTTTAAACACCTGACTTGCCTTATCTTTTTACTTTGAGTTACTGTTTTATTCTTCTGAATACATTTTTCAAAGAAACAGCAGTTGCTCATGATCTTTGGAAGTACTGCAATTACAGGCAAGAATACTGATAGCTGTGCATCAAGTAGGATGCATATAATTATATGTCTATGCAATTACATGCCTTCACACACAAAATTGTTGTAGTATTTATCACATAAGGATATGCACCTACTGCAACTATGTATCTATATAAGAACATGTAGAGTGGACTTCACAAATTCTGCACAGTTCCTTCCTGTGCATTTGGAATCCTCACCATAACGGTGAAAGATTGTCAAGTTTACAAGGACATAAAGGACTCTGTAAACAGCTAAGTTAAGCATCAAAGGCAGTATCTTTGGCATTTTTCCCTCCTTTGCTTGGTAAGATGTGGTATGTGACCAGATCCCATAGCTCATTGCCTTTGACTGGGATAGTTCACTGTCTCTTCCCCTACTATCTGCTTGTGTGATCTTGTCTTCCTTACGTACTCTATGAGTGAACTGTTTTGGGGGTTTTTTCCCTCATTAACTTGGCTAGTTTTCTGTTAAATCAGTGACTTGGAATCATTCTAAGGGGGTGGAGGGAAGAAAAGCCATAACTGGCAATACATGAAGAGGGATCTTGGTGGACACAAAAAGGAGAAGCTGGGGGGAAAGCAGGACTAAGAGTAACCATATTGGTAGCAGATGGCTTATCTGCTAGGCAGGGTCACAGTCCTCATGTCTTAAAGTACTTTGAAAAAGTGACAGTCACTGTGAGATCAGTGAACCTGGACAAACTGCTTTAAGACCTTGATTCAACAAACTCTGCACTTAGGATTTTCTCCAACGAGTTTGATTCAAAGCCTGTAGAAAAAATGAATAATGAGTCTAGGTACGTGGAGTCCTTTAAAAAGTCTTTAAAAGATTTCTGTATATACAGTGTCCTCAATTAACCCATTCCATGTGTGAGGCATGGATACATTTTTATCAAAGGGAGCAAATGCCAATTTTCTGTAGAAAGAGAAGAAGGAAGTATTGTCTCTACATGTTTTCAGTTTGTTTTTTTTTTTTAAGGAAGCTTTTCAAAATTTCTTGAGTAGTTAAGACATTAAACTGCATTTCTACCTACCTCCTAAATGAAAGATGGCAATAGTTACTGATAAGATCCAGGAAGTGGTGCTTGCAAGTTCATCAAAGTGCTGCTGGATTTCAACAAAGAAAAGACCAAAAGTCTTGAGGACGGCAGCAGTGAGGCCCATCACCATGAAGGCTGGCACTACCACAACCCATTCATAGCCACTACCTGGTGGATAGCTGTCACTGGCCTGCATCTTTTCTAATTCTCAGATCTTCTCTCTGTTTGTTGCTTTTTTTTTTTTTGCTGAGGTGGTAGTGATGGTGGTGAGGATTTTTTAAAAGTCTGCAAATTAGTAGAAGACGCAGTGTTAAATAAATGAATTTAAAGGTTCTAAGAATAGTTTACACAAGTAATTACCAAGTGAAAATACAATATGTATTTCAGTGGTTAGATTGAAAATATTACCCAGGAACAGACAGAAGGCAGAGTAGAAAGCAAAACAAAGAAATTAAAAAAATGAAGAAAGGAAAAATATTCACGTAAGGAAGGCAGAACAAAGAAATTACGTTAAAATAGGAGAGATTATAATAACGGGAGATTATAATATGATGATAATAGTAGGACAGAGATTTTCAGATGTGAAAATAGGAGAGAAGATTATGGGAAAAGAGATGATTGCAGACACAAAGCTTTTCAAAGATAGGCCTATGATACTTTCTATTCCTGAAGTGGCAGCCTCTCAAAGAAAGATTTCACCTTCCATTTGGCAATACCAAAATGACATTTAAAGACAGAACAATTCAAGTCAAAGCTATTTGCTATAAGATCTTCTCACCCTCAATACTGTCTATTAATCATTACATAAATTCCAGGAATACTGCAAACCTGTATTTTCTGTTTGTGTTTTGTCTCTCAAATCCCACGTGAAGAGGCAACTTTGACTAAAGTGTGGGAACGTACAAACTTAATACTAAGTCTTGCTGTTGTTGTAAGCAGTACTCTAATTCAGAACCCTTACAAAAATTTCTTAGTAATTCCAGCGGCAATAGGTCTTCTCCTTAAGTAAACACGGTATGTGAAATCTCAAAAATGGTATTCAGTGTGAAACTGGGTGTAACTCTGGTATCTGAGGAGTCTATTAGGGAACCAGCATTAGATATGGTACTGGCCATCTGAACATTGGCTGTACACTGTGAAACTTTGGAGCTCCCTGCCACATAAGACTATGGATTCTAAAACTTTACATAGAAATATTAGATAAATCTGTGCTGTACAAAACTATTGAGGATTACCAGATGCTTAAAAATGGTCCCTGGCTCAGGAAGTCTCTAACCTGCAAGTTCCAGAAACTGGGCAGTATCACTTTATGCCTAGTCTACTTTTATTTTAAACATTCGCCTTTTGGCCTGAACCAATACAGCCATTTTTATAGTCCGAATAACTTGCAAGGAACATTGCATAAGAATTTTAGGGTCCTCAATATTTAAGCATTTATAAATATTCATGGCTCCAGCACTACAAAGCATTTTTGCCAAAATTGGGCACAGGTTTCCTTGCGAAGGCATCCTAATAGGGAAGCACAACTTACTAAATCCATAACTGAAAAAAGTGCATTTCCCCTTATAAGTTTTGTGATAAACCTGGAGTAATCACGCAGGATCTGACTGAAGCAGGAAAACATTCCTACTATTTTCTTGTTTCTTCATGGATATTAAATTCTGAGCAGGCATGTTGTACAAATTGCAGGAAACCAAAAAAGACACAGCACAGGAAGTAGTTTTGTTCTAAAAGGAAGAATGTGAGCTAAAGACAGCTAACGATGTACTATACTTACATTTATCTTTCCTCTTTGCAGCTGGGAAAGATGAGGCTTTGGGAATCCATACCACTAAACGCCATCCAGTACAAAGCAGCAGACACTGGTCCCACAATTTGCCTTACCAAGGTACATTATCTCAGGAGGACCTAAAACACTGCATCAGGGTGAGGGGAATAAGCCATCAGAGCCTTGTAGGGATCAGAAGCAAAATCATTCTCCTGCCATGTGTCTGGCTCAAAGTTTGGACTAACATGTGGCACTGGACAAATTTGCATGACAGACATAGTCAGACAGATTAATCAGTTGCACAAGGTCTCAGACAACATCCTGAAAATCTTAAAACTCAGCCACAAGAGAGGGAGGAATGCCTCGTGGTTGAGGTTGATATGAAGGAATTTGGTTTTTATTTCCACAGTTTCTGGGTGATCTTGAGCAAGTCATTTGATCTTGCTGTGCCTCTGTTTTTTCAGTTGTGCAGCTAATAATTTCAAAGGTCATGAATTTTGTGAGGTACAGAACATTAATATTTGCATTACTGCTTAGGTACTCTAAGGAAATACAGAAACTATACCAAGCCATAGACCTCTCTTCTTATATTGCTAGGCTCAAGTGGCATGGTCGTAATCTGTTTTGAGACACTGAAGAACATAAAAATGAATGCAAACTCAGGCTAAATGGGCCTACCCAGGCAGAGAGATACTGATATTACTGCACCCTGCATGGACATGCCTGGGCAAGGGATTATGATTTCTGCCTCAAGATAGACAGAAGAAATCCTGCTATTTACAAGGCAGCACTCAGACTAAAACAGGTGTGATAAAATCTACTACTTCCTGACACCACCCAGCACCCTTCAACTTCATTACTCAAACTCTGCCCTAGGAGGAGTATAAATCAGGCCCTACTGCTCACAAGACTTAGACAAACAGTCTTTTTCCTGACCACAAATACAACTTTTTTGTCACAGCTCAGAATTCAGCCTCTAGCCTTTTTTATTGATCACAATGTTACATGCAACCCCAAACTGAAATTACTATTTCAGTTGCGTGATTAATTAATGAGGTAATTAGTTCCCTGCAGATCTGAAAGCAGTGCAGCTACATACTGTAGGGAAT